GTGGCAGTAGAGGCTGCTGGGTGCTGACTTGCACTCGGGCCAACGGTACTCGGTGCCGGGCTCTGCTGGGTACCGACACCACTCTGCTGCTCAACCTGATTGACCTGCTTGCGATTGGGATTGCTCCAACACAAATGTTGGGGGTGACCAGTCTTACCACAGTGCCAACAGACTATGTTGGGATTGGACCTGCCTTTGGAGTCACCTTTCTTTCCCCCTTTTCCTTGGCCACCTTTCTTGCCACCTGTGTCATGCTTGCCACCCTTGCCTTTGCCAGCAGGAGAACCGTATGGTTGGTACGGCTTGCCTTTGCCCTTACCTTCCTTGCCTTTGGAGTCACCTTTCTTTCCACCTTTTCCTTTGCCACCTTTCTTGCCACCTTTGAGGCGGTTGAGCTCAGCAACCATCTGCAAGACACTCATGCGACTAAGGTCCATGGGCACTGGGTCCTGTGCATTTGGATCTGCGGGCGGCGGCGCTATCACTCCGAGAGATTGTTGTACCTTGGTCGTAGACCATTGAGTAGTCGTGGTCTCATAGGCCAGCAAATATTGGCGCACTTCTGCATAGCTGGTGGACTCCGTCATCTGGAGTTGGAGGTGACTTCTTATCTGGGCTGGAAGACACCTGATCACGGTGCCCAACAGGAGATCTTCCCCTATGGGTTTCCCGGAAACCCTCTCATACTCGGAAGCCATCCTTTCGAGGGACGCGAGGTGCTCCCGAAGGGTCTTCTCCTTGGAGAAGCTTGGCATCTGCACCAGCGCATTCATGAGGGCTAGCGACCGGGCCTTGCTCTTCGGAGCGTAAATGGCTGTCAACTGGCGGTAAGCCTCATAGCCGTTTCTGTCCTCGATCTGTCTCAGAACAGACCGCGGCTTAGCCTTCAAGAGTGATGCGAAAATCGCATACAACCTCGTGCTCCTTGCCTGGGCCTCGGCGCTCATGTCTGAAAGACGCAACACGCGGTTGAGATTACCGTCGATCTCCTGAAGCTCGCTCTCAAACTTTGCATCGGCAAAAACCAACCAAGACTTAAACCCATGAAGCCACTCCTGCCACACAGCAAGGTCGTAGTCGAAGTTCGCCGAACCGAATTCATCTGGTCGGCGCAAGATCCTATTGGCATCTGAATAGCCTTGTGTGCTGGAACCTGCTTGGGCACTGTTCCTCGTGAGGGCCATCACGGCCGCGGTGGCAGCTTCACTTGCTGCTCGGCTTGCCTCAGTCATCTGCTGAAACATAATCATCATCCGGTCAGTGTCTGAAACATGGG